ATATATTATTAGGCATTGATCCGATTGTGGATCCGTACTCAGATATTTATATATTATTAGACATTGATCCGATTGTGGATCCGTACTCATCGGATATTTATATATTATCAGGCATTGATCCGATTGTGGATCCGTACTCATCTGATATTTATATATTATTAGGCATTGATCCGATTGTGGATCCGTACTCATCGGATATTTATATATTATTAGGCATTGATCCGATTGTGGATCTGAACTCATCGGATATTTATATATTATTAGGCATTGATCCGATTGTGGATCTGAACTCATCGGATATTTATATATTATGAGGCATTGATCCGATTGTGGATCCGTACTCATCGGATATTTATATATTATCAGGCATTGATCCGATTGTGGATCCGTACTCATCGGATATTTATATATTATCAGGCATTGATCCGATTGTGGATCCGCACTCATCGGATATTTATATATTATCAGGCATTGATCCGATTGTGGATCCGTACTCATCAGATATTTATATATTATCAGGCATTGATCCGATTGGGATCCGCACTCATCGGATATTTATATATTATCAGGCATTGATCCGATTGTGGATCCGTACTCATCGGATATTTATATATTATCAGGCATTGATCCGATTGTGGATCCGTACTCATCGGATATTTATAATATTATCAGGCATTGATCCGATTGTGGATCCGTACTCATCGGATATTTATATATTGTTAGGCATTGATCCGATTGTGGATCAGAGTACTCATCGGATAATTTTATATATTGTTAGGCATTGATCCGATTGTGGATCCGTACTCATCGGATATTTATATATTTATCAGGCATTGATCTGATTGTGGATCCGTACTCATCGGATATTTATATATTATTAGGCATTGATCCGATTGTGGATCCGTACTCAGATATTTATATATTATCAGGCATTGATCCGATTGTGGATTCCGTACTCATCAGATATATTTATATATTGTTAGGCATTGATCCCGATTGTGGATCCGCACTCATCGGATATTTATATATTATCAGGCATTGATCCGATTGTGGATCCGTACTCATCGGATATTTATATATTATTAGGCATTGATCCGATTGTGGATCCGCACTCATCAGATATTTATATATTATCAGGCATTGATCCGATTGTGGATCCGCACTCATCAGATATTTATATATTATCAGGCATTGATCCGATTGTGGATCCGCACTCATCAGATTATTTATATATTATCAGGCATTGATCCGATTGTGGATCCGTACTCATCGGATATTTATATATTATTAGACATTGATCCGATTGTGGATCCGTACTCATCAGATATATTTATTATATTATTAGGCATTGATCCGATTGTGGATCCAGCACTCATCGGATATTTATATATTATCAGGCATTTGATCCGATTGTGGATCCGCACTCATCAGATATTTATATATTATCAGGCATTGATCCGATTGTGGATCCGTACTCATCGGATATTTATATATTATTAGACATTGATCCGTATTGTGATCCGTACTTCATCAGATATTTTATATATTATTAGGCATTGATCCGATTGTGGATCCGCACTCATCGGATATTTATATATTATCAGGCATTGATCCGATTGTGGATCCGCACTCATCAGATATTTATATATTATCAGGCATTGATCCGATTGTGGATCCGTACTCATCGGGATATTTATATATTATCAGGCATTGATCCGATTGTGGGATCCGTACTCAGATATTTATATATTATTAGGCATTGATCCGATTGTGGATCCGTACTCAGATATATTTTATATTATTAGGGCATTGATCCGATTGTGGATCCGTACTTCATCAGATATTTATATATTATTTAGGCATTGATCCGATTTGTGGATCCGTACTCAGATATTTATATATTATCAGGCATTGATCCGATTGTGGATCCGTACTCATCGGATATTTATATATTATTAGGCATTGATCCGATTGTGGATCCGTACTCAGATATTTATATATTATCAGGCATTGATCCGATTGTGGATCCGTACTCAGATATTTATATATTATTAGGCATTGATCCGATTGTGGATCCGTACTCAGATATTTATATATTGTTAGGCATTGATCCGATTGTGGATTACCGTACTCAGATATTTACTATATTATTAGGCATTGATCCGATTGTGGATCCGTTACTCAGATATTTATATATTATCAGGCATTGATCCGATTGTGGATCCGTACTCAGATATTTATATATTATCAGGCATTGATCCGATTGTGGATCCGAACTCATCGGATATTTATATATTATCAGGCATTGATATTCCGATTGTGGATCTCTACTCATCAGATATTTATATGTTATTAGGTATTTGATCCGATTATGGATCCGAACTCATCGGATATTTATGTTGTTTGTTTTTTCCCACACACTAAAAGAGTTTCTTTATTTAGTGTTCCAATGATGGAGGGCTGTAATGGTAGCAGAATACATATGGAGGTCCATGTCCCAGGGTGACCCCCATCACGCCTCTAATGTAAAACAGGTATTCTGGTTCTCACACCATCTGTTCCAGACGGTCCGTCTCTGTTTCTTCCTAGTATACAGTATTTAATATATTCACACACACTATATTGCCCCAAGTATTGGGCCCCCAACGGCTTTTTCCAGCACATGAACTTTAATGGCCCCCCAGTCTTAGTCCGTAGGGTTTTCAATATTGAGTTGGCTCCGCCCTTTGCAGCTATACACAGCTTCACCTCTTGTGGGAAGGCCGTCCACAAGGTTTAGGAGGGTGTCTATGGGAAGGTTGGACCATTCTTCCAGAAGCACATTTGTCAGGTCAGGCACTGATGTCGGGGGAGGGGCACTGATGTCGGGGGAGGAGGCACTGATGTCGGGGGAGGAGGCCTGGCTCGCGCAGTCTCCGCTCTAATTCATCCCAAAGGTGTTCTATGGGGTTGAAGTCAGGGACTCTGTGCAGGACAGTCAAGTTCCTCCACCCCAAACTGGCTCCTCCATGTCTTTATGGACCTTGCTTTGTGCACTGGTGGGCAGTCATGGGTGGAACAGAAGGGGCCATCCCCAAACTCTTCCTGCAAAAGTTGGGAGCATGAACATGTCCAAAAATATCACCATCAAGAGCTCTCTTCACTGGAACCTAGGGGACCAAGCCCAACCCCTGAAAAACAACCCCACACCATAATCCCCCCTCCACCAAACTTTACACTGGCACAATGCAGTCAGGCAAGACTGTTCTCCTGGTAACCGCCAAACCCAGACATGTCCATGGGATTGCCAGACAAAGAAGCGTGATTGGTCACTCCAGAGAAACACGTCTCCACTGGCTCTAGAGTCCTTAGTGGCGGCATGCTTTACAACACAGCATCGACACTTTCATTGCACTTGGTTGATGGAAGGCTTGGATGCAGCTGCTCGGCCACGGAAACCCATTCCGATGAAGCTCTCTACACACTGTTGTTGGGCTCATCTGAAAGGCCACACCAGAAGTTTGGAAGGTCTTTAGCTATTGACTCTGCAGACAGTTTGGTGACTTCTGCGCACTGTGCGCTTCAGCATGCGCTGACCCCACCCTGTCATGTGACGTGGCCTCCACTTGGTGGCTGAGTTGCTGTTGTTCCCAGTTGCTTCCACTTTGTTATAATCCCACTAACAGTTGAGCGTGGAATATTTAGTAGCCAGGAAATGTCAGGATGGACTTATTGCCCAGGTGGCTACCTATCACGGGACCACGCTTGGAGTCTCTGAGCTCCTGAGAGCGACCCATTCTTTCACCAATGTTTGTACAAGCCGTCTGCATGCCTAGGGGCTTGATTGAAACCACACCTGTGTCCATTGGAGGGGATTGGAACAGCACCTGAATCACATGATATGGAGGGGATTGGAGCACCTGAATCACATGATATGGAGGGGATTGGAGCACCTGAATCACATGATATGAAGGGGATTGGGACACCTGAATCACATGATTTGGAGGGGGATTGGACACCTGAATCACATGATATGGAGGGGATTGGAACACCTAAATCACATGATATGGAGGGGATTGGAACACCCGAATCACTGATATGGAGGGGATTGGGCCACCAGTATCCAATGATTTGGAGGGCGGGGACAAGTACTTGTGGCAATATAGTGGTATTTGAGGATGAGTGATACAAATAATACAAACTCTAATACACATCATATTAAACATTTAACCACTTCCTGCTGTTAGGACATACATCATGAACACCCTGGACTTTGAGTGAGATACGTGGATGATTGCCAGAAGCTGTACAGTCATCATCCCGGTATCTTTTTTTTTCAGCAGTCAATCCTCTGTAATGTAAAATCAATCCAAGTGGCTAGTTGTTGGGCTACGTGTTCGACTCGAACCATGGGCCGTTCATGTGTTTGTGATGAAAACACACAAATGGTACGGGTTGTGTTCGGTGTGCTGTTCACCCACCGCCGCCCCACCAATTCGCTGAGCCCATTTGTGATTGGTCAAAGCAATTGCATATGACCACAGGAAGGCGGACTAGTGAGCGTGATATGCGGGGTCCCGGGGTAGGAGCGTAATTATAGTGAATGAGGGGTCCGGGGAGACCGAAGTATAGTGAATGCGGGTCCGGGGAGGAGCGGATGTAGTGAAATGCGGGGTCACGGGGAGAGCGGATTTAGTAGTGAATTGCGGGGTCCGGGGAGAGTGGATTGTAGTGAATGCGGGGTCCGGGACGGAGAGGCGATATTAGCTGAATGCGGGGTCCGGGGAGAGCGGGATATAGTGAATGTGGGGTCTCGGTGAGAGAGGATATAGTGAATGCGGGGTACGGGGTGGGAGGAGTGAGAGGGATATAGGTGAATGCGGGGTCCGTGGTGAGTGCGGATATACGTGAATGCCGGGGGTCCGGGGAGGAGCGGATTTATAGTGAAATGAGGGGTAGGGGAGGGACCGAGTTAAGTATAGTGAATGCGGGGTCCGGGGAGAGCCGGATGTTAGTGAAATGCGGTGGTCCGGGGAGGTGCGGATATAGTGAATGCGGGGTGCCGGGGAGAAGAGGATGTAGTGAATGCGGGGTACGGGGATGAGCGGATTATAGTGAATGGCGGGCGGTGGTCCGGGGCGAGAGCGGATTATAATGACATGCGGGGTCCGGGGAGTGCGGATATAGTGGATTGGTGAATACGGGGGTTCCGGTAGAGCGGATTATAGTGAATGCGGGGTGGGGCGGGTCCGGGGGAGGAGCAGGATATAGTGAATTGCGGGGTCCTCCTGGAGAGCGGGATATAGGTGAATGCGGGGTTTCCGGAAGAGAGGAATTATAGCGAGGGTGCGGGGTCCGGAGGTAATTAGGAATGCGAGAGGTTCATGGCCGTGAGCGGATTATAGTGATGCGGGGTTCCTGGGAGAGTGGGTTATAGTGAATAGCGGGGTCCGAGGGATTTAGAGCGGAGAGAGTGAGATAGTCAGGGGAATGCGGTTTTTGGGGTCTCCGGGGAGAGCGTGAATATAGTGAATGTTACCGGGGTCAGAGTAGGAGCGGAGTATAGCGAATGCCGGGGGCCGGGGAGTGCGATGATATAGTTGAATGCAGGGTCCTGGGGAGCGGATTGAGAATGATTCCGTAGGATAGTTTGTCCTGAGTTTGTGTATTCGGGGTCCTCCGGGGAAGAGCAGGATATAGTGAATGCGGGGTCGACCGGGGGAGAGCGGATTATAGTGAGGTGCGGGGTCGTCGTGGGAGAGCGGATATAGTGAGTTGGGGTCCTGGGAGAGCAGCGGATCTTATAGTGAATGCAGGGTCCGGGGAGAGCGTGGGAGACGGGATTATAGTGAATGCGGATCTCTTTTTTTATGCTGGGGAGAGCGTCGGAGGATGGAGTTAGTGAATGTGGGGGTCGGGGAGAGCAGATATAGTGAATGCGTGGGGGTCCGCTCTAGGGTCGGGGACGAGCGGATTAGTGATGCGAGGGGTCCAGGGCGCGCGGAGAGCGGATATAGTGATATGCGGGGTCCGGGAAGTGGAGCGGATGGATATAGTGAATGCGGGGTCATGGGAGAGCGGATATAGTGAATGCGGGGTCCAGGGAGACTGGGGTACGGGGAGAGCGGATATAGTGAATGTGGGGTTTGGGGAGAGCAGATATAGTGAATGCGGGGTCCTGGGAGAGCGGATATAGTGAATGCGGGGTCCGGGGAGAGCGGATATAGTGAATGCGGGGTCTGGGGTTTAGTAACACTTAATGATCAAAGCATTGTGTTGCATTGGATTGGTTTTAGGTGAGTGGTCACAGGTGTGTGTCGGAGGAGGGGCGGGGGGTTGGTCAGTAAAATCGTAATCAACTGCCTGTTTTTACCACTCATTTGCTGCCTGTGTCATTGAGTCCTAACAGTGTAGTAAATGGGCCATGCAGCATCTCTCATTGCTCCTAGTATTGTCTTGCTGTGCAACAGAATTGAAAAGTCCTGAAACATTCGTTCTGTGACGGAGCTGTCAGTGGACAGGTCACAAGGAGTCGGACAGTTATACGACTCAAATTAAACTGGTTCTAAAGTCTGAACATTGTTTTACCTTCAGCAGGGGCGGAATGACAACTCCTGGGGCCCCCGGGCAATAGGGGATCATGGGGCCCCTGTGTCCTCACCCACACTCAAACCACACCCAAAAAAGCCTATGAAAGTTACCAGCGGTATCTCATGGGGCCCCCTACTGACCCTGGGCCCTTGGGCAGTGCCCGAGATCCGAAATGGTCGGTCCTCCCCTGACCTTCGTACATGCTATGGGTGAAGGTAAAATACCTGTTGTGTGTAGCAGCCCCCCCCCCCCAAGCCCCATCCCGATTCAGCGATATCCACGAGAGCCTCGGTTATCCGGGGACTCTCACTCCTGATTGGCCGAGCCATCGGCTCCCTCTGCTGTCATTCACAGCCAATGAGCCAATCAGGAGAGGGAAGGGGCGGGGCCAAGCCATGGCTCTGTGTGTGAATGGCTCAGGAGCGTGCCTGCCTGGGTGCCCCCAGAGCAAGCTGCTTCCAACAGGAGGGAAGTCACAGGAGAGCCTGCAGGGGCCACAAGAAGTGGAGGATTCGCGCTGCTGTATGCAAAAACCACACAGGAGGTAAGTATAGACATGTTTGTTATTTAAAAAGAACAAAAAACAAGACTTTAGTATCACTTTAACCGCTTCCCGACCGCCCTACCGCAAATATACTGCTACAGGGCGGCACGGGTGTGCAAAATCATGTGTGTATATATGTGATTTTTAATTTCTGGGTAGGGGGCACGCGCAAGCCGCTCGCCCTGCCTGCACCGCCATTCGCGGCGGTCAATCACCGGGCCCCGGCCGGTGATTACGGAGCATTTCCGACAGGGAGGAGGACTGTTTTCCTCCCTGTCAGCTCGGGCACACTGCACAGCACAGCCATCCAGAGCAGTGTGATTACAGTGAAGCACACAGACCCCGCCCCCTAGTAAAATTCTCCCAGCACACAGTTAACCCTTTGATCGCCCCTCATGTTAACCCCTTCCTGCTCAGTGTCATTAGTACAGTGCTTTTTTTTTAGTACTGATCACTGTATTGGTGTCACTGGGGCAGGGGCGGACTGACAACTCATGGGGCCCCCAGGCAATAGGGGATCATGGGGCCCCTATGTCCTTGCCCAAACTCAAAAAAGCCTCTGGAAAAGGTACCAGGGGCATCTCATGGGGCCCCCTACTGACCCCGGGCCTCGGGCAGAGCCCGAGTTTCCAAATGGTCAGTCCTCCCCTGCACTGGGGACGTCAGTGACACCAGGTCAGTTCTCCCCCCCCTCAGTGTCATAATACCCGCCGCAGTCCCGCTATAAGTCACTGATCGCCGCCATTACTGGTAGAAAAAAAAATTCCAGTACCTATACCGCCATTTGTAAACGCTATAACTTTCATGTAAACCAATTAATATACAATTATTGTGATTTTTTTTTCTTAACAAAGACATTTTGGTAAATTTATGACGAAATTTGATTTTTACGATTTTTTTTTTTACCGGACATGTTTAATAGCAAAAAGTCCAAAATATTGTTTTCTCAAAATTGTCGGTCTTTTTTTTATAGTGCAAAAAATTAAAAATGTAGAGGCGATCCAAAAAATCACCAAAAGAAGGTTCTATTTGTGGGAAAAAAAGGATGTAAATTTAATTTGGGTGCGGCGTTGCATGACCGCGCAATTGTCAGTTAAAGCAACGCAGCGCCGTAACGCATAAAAAGGCCTGGTCAGGAAGGGCGGGGGGAGGGGGTCCTCTGGAGGGGGAGGGGTTAATGCAGCTCTGAATTTATTTATGTATCATGAAATGTATTTTCTTTTGAAGCCGTCCGTAGACCTACATTTAACTTGGTATCAGAACGATCAAACGATCGACCGATTTTCTCTTGGTTGATGAGCAGGATGGTATAACCGATAATGATATTGCGAGCGAAAAAAATCCGGTCGAACAACGGTGAAAAATGTTGTCATTTAGCATGCGAACGTCCAATTTTCTAAGCGGTGGTATGACGGTCGTACGAAAAAAAAAAATCTATCAAGCGCTATCACGCATGAGCGGAAACAGAAGACGACCCGGATGTGTATGTCCAAGGATCCATAAATCCAATTTAATCCAATTAATTCCGATTTTTTTTCAATTGGTTAATGTGGGCCATGATTTCAACCAACGAATACGAACGCCGATCGGTCGATTTTCTTACCGCATGCGCATGCGAACGACCGATTCTCTATGCGGCGGTATGACGGTCGTCTGGAAAAAAAAAATCTATCAAGCGCTATCACGCATGAGCGGAAACAGAAGACGACCCGGATGTGTATGTCCAAGGATCCATAAATCCAATTTAATCCAATTAATTCCGATTTTTTTCAATTGGTTAATGTGGGCCACGATTTCGACCAACGAATGAACGATCGGTCGTCGGATGACAGATCGGTCGATTTTCTTACTGCATGCGCATGCGAACGACGATTTTCTATGAGGCAGTATGACGGTCGTCTGAAAAAAATCTATCAAGCGCTATCACGCATGAGCGGAAACAGAAGATGACCCGGATGTTGATGTCCAAGGATCCAAAAATCCATTTTTAATCCAATTAATTCCGAGGAATTGTATCCAATCGTTCGTTCTGGGCAGCAGGCTGTTCAATGCTCGTTCTGGGTGGGAGGGCGTGGCTACAAGGTCACGCGCACACTGCATCGCTTCCACTTGCACGGAAGATGTCAACACTACGTATTGCTCGAGGAACAATTTTTTTTAGATTGGTAAATGTGGGCCACAATTTCGACCAAAACGAACGAACGGCGATCGGTTGTCAGATGACAGATCAGTCGAATATCTTACCGCATGCGAACGACCAATTCTCTATGCGGCGGTATGACCGTTGTGTCCGAAAAAAAAAAAAAATCTATCAAGCGCTATCACGCATGAGCGGAAACAGAAGACGACCCGGATGTGTATGTCCAAGGATCCATAAATCCAATTTAATCCAATTAATTCCGATTTTTTTCGATTGTTTAATGTGGGCCATGATTTCGACCAACGAACGAACGCTGATCGGTCGATTTTCTTACCGCATGCGCATGTGAACGACCGATTCTCTATGCGGCGGTATGACGGTCGTCTGGAAAAAAAAATCTATCAAGCGCTATCACGCATGAGCGGAAACAGAAGACGACCCGGATGTGTATGTCCAAGGATCCATAAATCCAATTTAATCCAATTAATTCCGATTTTTTTCGATTGTTTAATGTGGGCCATGATTTCGACCAACGAACGAACGCTGATCGGTCGATTTTCTTACCGCATGCGCATGTGAACGACCGATTCTCTATGCGGCGGTATGACGGTCGTCTGGAAAAAAAAATCTATCAAGCGCTATCACGCATGAGCGGAAACAGAAGACGACCCGGATGTGTATGTCCAAGGATCCATAAATCCAATTTAATCCAATTAATTCCGATTTTTTTCAATTGGTTAATGTGGGCCACGATTTCGACCAACGAATGAACGATCGATCGTCGGATGACAGATCGGTCGATTTTCTTACTGCAGGGGCATGCGAACGACGATTCTCTATGAGGCAGTATGACGGTCGTCTGAAAAAAATCTATCAAGCGCTATCACGCATGAGCGGAAACAGAAGATGACCCGGATGTTGATGTCCAAGGTTCCAAAAATCCATTTTAATCCAATTAATTCCGAGGAATTGTATCCAATCGTTCGTTCTGGGCAGCAGGGTGTTCAATGCTCGTTCTGGGTGGGAGGGCGTGGCTACAAGGTCACGCGCACACTGCATCGCTTCCACTTGTACGGAAGATGTCAACACTACGTATTGCTCGAGGAACGATTTTTTTTAGATTGGTTAATGTGGGCCACAATTTCGACCAAAACGAACGAACGGCGATCGGTTGTCAGATGACAGATCAGTCGAATATCTTACCGCATGCGAACGACCAATTCTCTATGCGGCGGTATGACCGTTGTCCGAAAAAAAAAAAATCTATCAAGCGCTATCACGCATGAGCGGAAATAGAAGACGACCCGGATGTGTATGTCCAAGGATCCATAAATCCAATTTAATCCAATTAATTCCGATTTTTTTCGATTGTTTAATGTGGGCCATGATTTCGACCAACGAACGAACGCCGATCGGTCGATTTTCTTACGCATGCGCATGCGAACGACCGATTCTCTATGCGGCGGTATGACGGTCGTCTGGAAAAAAAAATCTATCAAGCGCTATCACGCATGAGCGGAAACAGAAGACGACCCGGATGTGTATGTCCAAGGATCCATAAATCCAATTTAATCCAATTAATTCCGATTTTTTTCATTTGGTTAATGGGGGCCACGATTTCGACCAAACGAATGAACAATCGGTCGTCGGATGACAGATCGGTCGATTTTCTTACTGCATGCGCATGCGAACGACGATTTTCTATGAGGCAGTATGACGGTCGTCTGAAAAAAATCTATCAAGCGCTATCACGCATGAGCGGAAACAGAAGATGACCCGGATGTTGATGTCCAAGGATCCAAAAATCCATTTTAAATCCAATTAATTCCGAGGAATTGTATCCAATCGTTCGTTCTTGGCGGCAGGGTGTTCAACGCTCGTTCTCGGTGGAAGGGCGTGGCTACAAGGTCACGCGCACACTGCATCGCTTCCACTTGCACGGAAGATGTCAAACACTACGTATTGCTCGAGG